TGAAGTGTGCGAGCACGACACAAACATGTGTTTGCGTCCACGCAGTGACTGATGGGAAAACAAGTTCAACTGGAGCGCCTCCTGCTGGCCTCAACAGCCCCTGCCCGTGTACAGGTAGGACTGGGGCCTCAGGGTGGCGCTACAGGGCTTTGAAATGAGGCCTGGCTGAGGAGTCGTCTTTGAGCCATATGAACAGCTGAGCCCCCTCCCCTTAATGTACAAATGCATTTATGAATGCTTGATATTCTGCTGTGTCAGCTGTTGTTGGATGATCAGACTGTGGTTTATTGTAGTTTCATGGGTTTCATGGAACTCTGCTGAGCGTAAAGATTAGATTAGATGAAAGTTTATTAATCCCTCAGGTGGGTGGAAATTTAGTTTCCAGTAGCACAGCACCGACAGAAGTTGCATGTTACAGATGCAATAAAGGGGAATGAGAGTAAGGATTTAAGCATAAATATACCATATATACATATAACACATATATAAATGCAGAATATATAATATGGATAAATGGGAATACCAGTGGATTCCACATTTGAGTGAGTCACAGTGATTATTTCACAGCCAAATATAAGAAAAAATATTACAAATATTGCACAGTGAAAAGGCACTACAGCTCAGTTGTTCCCGCCCTGTATCCCCTCGCTTTCCCCTCCAGAAAGGAGTTAAACAGTTTGATGATGTGGGACTAAGGAGTTTTTCAACCACCAACTGGTAAAACATCCTCAGGAGCTTCCTGCAGATGTTAAAAGACCTCAGCCTCTGTTGGAGGTTGAAGACTCGTAGCGGCTCTCCAAGTTCAGCAGCACATGCCTTTAGCATCCTAGGACACACCATGCGAAAAACAAAAAACTCATATTCTGTTTGGTGAATACTATTAGTCAACATTTTAAACATGATTAGCAAGTAATGATACTAAGACTTGTGTGTTTCTTTTCTTTTGCTTTACCATTTCAATCATGCTGCGGTCAGCGTCAGCATCTAACATGGAGCAAACAGCGCAGTAGTCCTCAGCGTTCCCTGAAACACATTCATAGTTACGTTTTAATCAAACATTATTTATTGAATAATTAAAAAATAATAGTACATTTTTTCCAAATATACTTCATGGAAAATTAGTCTCCTGATTTTTTAATTAGACTTTGAGAAGGGTCTTATCTGAAAGTGTTTGAAGAGCACTATTTAAATTGGAAGTGCGCACTCTAACGTGATAAGGACTTTACTGAACTTG